GGACTCTAGAAAATAATATGATTTATTTATTAGAATTTTTTTTATTTAGGGATGTGAGTTAAAGTAAGTTGTTGGAGTCACCACCTACTTATTAAAATAATTAGAAATCGAAAATTGACATTGGTTTAGAGATTCTAGGATAAGAAGTTGGTTATACCGTTAGAAAGATTTCAAGCACCCAAAGGCATCTTTTCCTAGGAAAGGTAACACATCCGGTTTAAATCTAAAAGTTTATCTCCTAAAAGTTTTATTTTTACCAAAATATTTCTAAATTAATTTTCATGTTTATTATCTAAGCTAAATTAATTTTTATTTTTTATTTGTGACATCATATTGAATCGATTGTCGGACTCTAGTGTCGATAGTCTCGTCAAGCCATCATCGGATCAATTTAAGTCTCAACATAACTAATATATTAGAACAACCTAATTACTAAAATATGATTTATTTTGAATTAACATCGATCCCTATTGGATAGGAAACTCATTAAAATTGCTTAAAATGCTTTTTTTTTCTTTTTTGTTCTTTTAATGCTTTATTTTGAGCTCGTAAGGAAAACATTATTTTTTTTATTTTTGTTGTTTTTTATGACATCGTATTAAATTAACATCAAGTCTTAAAATTTAAGAGTCTTGTCGGTTTAGCATCGAATCCAAATTAAGGTCTTAACACGATTAGCATGTTGAGGAACGACCTAATTAACTATTTTTTATTTTTTTTTACATAAAATACTAAATAAAATTGACCCAAATTGACTTGTTGTTACTATATATATATATTTTTAATATTTTTATTATTAGATAATAATATATAGAAACCATTGTCCGTTCCTAATAAATAGGAGACTTGTTGGTTTGACATAACGACCAAATGAAATCCATACATTAAAATAAACTTGCAGCTAAATATTTTTAGGTTTTTTTTTTAACACAAACAAAATTAAACCTTACTACAAACAACACAATAAAATAATTTAAAAAGAGTAAGAAAATAAACCAAATGGTCACTGAAATTTGACCAAAATTAGCCTTTGAATTTCTACTAAAAATGACTAAGATGCCCATCTTGATGGAAAAGAAAAAATTACCTTTTGGAGAAGTCACGCTACACCCATTGCATACTTAACTAAAACCAGTTTGAATCTTATCTAAATGAAAAGACCTTATTGCATTTTTTTAACTATATACCTATCTAAACATTGGTGACCATGTCCATGGGCCTTTTGGGCTTATGAATCTTGCCTAGGGCCTCAAAGAGGATTGGGCCCTTGCACCGATCAAAGTTGTTGGGCCTCTCCATCATGTTATCATCCTCAAATCCAAAGATGGATAAAGAAAATTGTTGGGCCTCCCTATCATGTTACCAAAATTAAATGTCGACTTGAGTTTAGTCAAGTTATAATTAACCAAAAACACTAATAACTCTAGAGTTGAGAGAGAATCCCTAATATGAGAACACATTACACTTGAAATCACATATAAACCAATAACCCAAAAATTCTAAACAGTTTCTTGGAGGTTTTCTTAGGAATAAGAATTCCGAGTTGGTTTTGGAAGGAGGGATTATTTTCTCCACCAATATACGATTGAATGTTGGAATCAAACACTTAGCCATCGGTCTTCATCCTCAATAACTAAGTCCGTTAAAGAAAGGTGCGGTTTACGAATTGAACGAAATGGAGAATGATGGTGGCCATATGGAAGGCTTTGGGTTACAAGTGACTTATGTGGTGTTAGGCCAATGAATTATTTGTATTTGATTGGTTAACAACGAATATATGGGTTTTTGGTGGAGAGTTTATGAAAATCGACTGGTGAAGGTGAAAGGGATGACGGTGGAGAGTAGGGAAAGATTGTGTGGTGCTTTGTGAGGTATGCCTACTAGGTTTTTGTATTTTTTACTATGAGTTCATGATAAAGGTTGTGCAGACCAATAGTGGTGAAAAAAATGGTTGTTGAAGTTGGGAATGAGGCTAATTATAGATTCTAGTCACACGAGTGTTGAGAGACCTATAAGGTATGACCATTGAGGAGGAGAATGGCGAGGCCATGGTGGTGGTGTGTTTGGGTGAGTGAAAGAGAAGAGAAGATAGGGGTGATAGTGGTTGCAATTTGGAAATGCTTGGGATGGTCTAAGGTTTGACATTTTCAAAACGAAAGGATATTACTACATATACTTAAACTAGAACTTAGACTTGAATAGAGGAGGTGGAAGGATGTGTGGTTGGCTACTAGGTAAGACAGGTGTGGGTGGACTTGAGACTAGTTAGATAAAAATGGTATAGGAATGAAGACAACTATGAGTACCTTGAAGGTTAACATTGGTGTATATGTGATTTGAGCGAGTTTGGTGTAGGAGGTTTTTGCTAGTCTAGATAGAGGGCGTTTTTATTTGTAATGGCCGTAGGGATGGTTATGGTAGTAGGTGGTAGCCATTAATGGCTTATGATGGTAAGTTTCGATGAGAATAAACTAAGCTTTTGAGACTTTGTGGTGGCTATGGCTTTGTTTGTTGATGAAGATAATTGTAGTATTATGATTATGATAACCGTAGACTGCTATAATTGTTTCTAGTCTTAGTTAGTTTCAATTGATTTATAGTAGGTCCGTAGAGATGGAAGCAACTAAGTTTAAAGATGAACCCGTATCTTGGGTTCGTACTGGATGATGAAGATGATGAGAGGTTAGTTTGGGTGTGGCTATGGCGGTCACTTTATGGTAGTGAAAATGGCTACCAATATTTTATTTTTTTTAGGGAAAAAAATGATGGTTGCTAAGGTTTTTGGTTCTCCTTGTTGTTTTTTTTTTTTTACTAGGGTTTTTATAGGTAGATGAATAATTATGGAGGCTCTTTAAAATGAAGTGAAAAGGGTTTTTATGGGTAGATGAATAATTATAACAATAAAAGATGTTAATGAGGCTAACTTTGTAGGTGTTGAGAGCATTCAAATTTTCAATCATAAAGATGACTATGCTTGCTTGTAATAAAGAGTTAACTAAGGCGATGCTAGTTGTGATGCTAGTTTAGTTAAAACTAAGAGTTGTGATGTTGTTTTGGTTATTGTTGAACATAACTACATAGAAAATAAAGTTCATGTTTTTTACTTTATTGGTGTTTAGAATTTTATGACTTCCAACAAGAAAGTTGTTCTTATTGGTGAAGAAAAAGGGCATGCACATATTGGTGTGCCATTGTTTATCGATTTTTCTAAAGTTGTTCATGGCTCAAAGTCTATTACATTTGCATGGTTTGATACTATTACTCATTTATCAAGGCATGAATTCGGCATAAAAGTGAAGATTTGAGGATGAATCTTTTTAAAGAATAGGAGTATGATATGATCATAGGGGATTTGAATTATATAGAATTAAATGGATTACTTCATGAAGAAATTTGGACTTCACAAAATTCATATAGGCTGATTTGTATGGTATTTTGGCTGAAATTAATGAGCTCACAATATGAATTAAAGTTTGGATCAAAATGGGCTGATTCAATTATCATTTGGGCGAGAGGAATGCATCCTAATTAGGTCATGGGCTTCCTAATGCTAAACAAAGCTATTGGGTCAAATTCTCCGTTAATGGGCTTGAAGACCATCAAATGGGTCTTATGCATCTTATCCAAGCTATTAGGTTGAATTTTTCGGACTTGAAGTCCAATCTAGTCTAACCATCTTTTCTTGACATTTTGGGCCAAGATTAGCAAGCCAAAACTATTGAATTAATCTTTAAATCAAATCAACCTTGTGAGAAAATTCACACCTTAGTTCTTTTTAGAACTAGATTTCAAATTTATCAAAAGTCTAATTCGATTCTTGTGGCGTTCGAGTGACTTATCACTCTCTTTCTACCCTTTCTAAAGTGTGACGTCCATATCCTTCCAATGTAAATTGCCCTTCCAAGATTTCTTCCTTCTTGTTCGTGGGTTCTCTAGCCATTGAGTTAGGCGGGTTCACATCATCATCTATTTTTCCAAATTGTTTACGCCAAGTTATATCTTATAATTTTATCTTTTTCTATCTTGCCATACATGGTTACACGGACACCTTTGCTAACAAGATTGTTCATACAAAAAGCTAAATGTATGTGCTCAATTTTTTTGAAAAATTAATTAAGTAACTTAGTTATCAACACAAGGTCTTAGATTGCAAAGATAAACACCGGTATTCTAACGGAACTAGTGTCCATGTCTTCTTTTTGGATGCATCAAGAGGATTCACTTGGTGGGCTTGGAGCGAGGATCCGCTAAATGAAGACTCAATTCTTACTTCATTTAACCTTTACTAGCAAGATGAAATAGTTTAGTCTAAAGAGCCTAAATTTTTCAAACCAAATCGATCGCCAAAATTTTGATGGTATGGCATGATTCTAACGATCAAGTACTATCTTCTTTCACTATAAATACTAGTCTCGCGTCATTGTGATGAATCATAACTTTTGCATTAGAGAACTTTTGACTTCGAACTTTTAATCTTTAGCAAAAAGAAATCCATGAACTTTCTATCTCAAAACTTTTTCACTTACATACCAAACAATATTTAAAACTTCATTTATTTGGAGTTTAACCATCCATCATGTCGAGAACTTGACTTGTACCTTGTTAGTATTGTCCGCTTCTTTTCTCACACCTCTTACTATTTGTGTTTTTTCTTTTTAATTAGTTAAGCTGTTACTTTTATAAGTCACAATACTAATTTTTTATATTTTAACTAGCATATGTGATTAATTCTTAAGAATCCCTTCATGCACTCGATGCTCCACTTATCCAAGGGAAGCAACATAACACGCCCCTAAAGGGTTATATAGCTGCTTCAAACCAACTATTTATCAGCGGTACCGGCAGGCACAATGGTAGCAATTAGCACAATTTGGCGACAGACGTTTTTTTATTTTATTTTTTTAACGGTAAAAAAGGTCTAAAATCCAAATAACAAATTTTTGTGATGAAACTCGGAAGTGTTGGCTGCACACATCTGGACGCTTGGATCAATTCGCGAAATGGCACCATCAGGTCAGTTTCATTGACTCCGCCATCAATAATAATTTTGCAAATTCTCAATAGGAAACATATGAACAAAATTCAAATAATCAGCATATGATCCACGAGAACCATTAAAATTTTAGTTCTACATAAATAAATGGTCAATAATAGAGCTCGAGCTATACACTCTCTTTCATCTTTTAGAATTCGTGTAGGCTACTGGCTACGGGCTACTCACTTTGCCCGTTAAGCCTTAAACATCGCAATCTGGACCTTCATCCTGCTGATTTTGTCCAATTTAGTTGCCAAATTTTAATTGATTCGATAATGAATTATAACTGACATGATATTGACGTCTTTCTTTTCAAATTCAAATATATCCTTTATAATTAATTTAAAAACAAAGCGGATCCAACTTAATTAAAGTAGCTGGTTAATCTGAAAACTCCATGCCCATATATATTGTTTGAATTTTAAACTAGTCATTTTACCAGCTAATATATTTGGATGGTTTTTCAATCATACTTGCTTAGTTTCATAATAATAATGTACGTAGTAGTTCGTACTTCGTAGCAATCACAAACGGGAGGGATTTTGGGACTATATATGATACCGTCTAATTAAAAGTTAAATTACTGATATTCTAGAGTAAGATGCTTAATTAGAAGCTCCTGTTTTCTTATTATTATCCATAATTTTATGTAAAAAACCTAATTCCTCAAATATAAGTTCAATGAGAAATTGTATCGGATAAAGCGTGTTGATCAGTTGATCCTTCTAATTATTTATCGAAACTAACATAGTTATTAGGCTTCAACGAGTTCTATTATCAATGAAGTATAGTTTAAATGACTTTAGTATTGCTCATCGTTTCAAAAGATTTTGAATTCACCCCTATCATTTGTAACGAAAAAAAAAAAAACTAATTCATTTATTTATTTGTTTTGAGAATTTTCAAAAAAAAAAAAATCGTCTTTATTGTTATGTTTCCATCAAAATTTTAATAAATATTCTAACAAAGCAGCATGTTCTCCTCACCTAAAATCACCAATTTTTTTTTTTTTTGGTTATGGAAACAAGTATTTATCGAGTTAGTTTACAGATAAATTAAGATTAAATCTTCTTTTTGCATGATTTTAATGATACACTCCTCATATTAGATTAATGCATTAAGAAAAATTAAATTCTTCTATATATTGACTTTAAAATTTGAACTCAAAAAATCAAAGGAAGGAGCACACTTCCTCAAACATAGATCGATTTTTTGAGATTATCTAAAATCAACTCAACTAGATTTAAAATATTTTTGAGGTTAAATGATATTTAGCAAAAAATGAAGCAAGAATATCGGCAACAAAGAAAATAGTGGATGCGAATAAAAAATTATTTAATTTATAAATAAAAATTTGTTGGGTGTAATTTATAAATGATCTTAGTATAACATGTGAAGAAACAAACTAGTAAAATGATTGAAATGTAAAGGGAAATAAAAAAGAAAAAACGCAAGTGTTGGTGTGTGCATGTGTGACATGAAAAAAAAAAAAGGAAAATTTTCTTTCTTGTTTTGTCAGACACTTGCATATATATATATATATATATATATATACACACGCGAACGAAAGTTTTTTTTTTTCCTAATAAAGGGAGAGTAACAGGAGAGGAAAAAGAAAAACAATTTTTTTTTTTCGTCGAATGTTATATATATATATATATATATATATATATATATATATATATATATATATATATATATATACACACACACACACGGACGAAAGTTTTTTTTTTTTTTGTTTTTTCCCTAATAAAGGGAGAGTAACAGTAGAGGAAAAAGAAAAACAAAATTTGTTTTTTTTTGTTTTTGTCTAATGTTATATAACAAATAAGGATTTTGTGATATGGAATATTATGCCTTTTTCTAACATTAATTCTTAGGTACTGCAATCACATAGGGTTATAATATTTAAGATAGTAATCTTATATAATATTTAACTTTATAAAAATATAGAGATTTGGAAAATTTTAAATTTTATGATAAAATAGATTTAAGTAGAGAAATAATTTATATTATTATTAATATTTTTTTCTTCTCAGGTTCTCGAGAGATTAAAATAATGGTACTGTTTTTGTTATTATTATTATAATTGATTATTTCAAATTTGATCTTGTGTTTTTTTTCATTTATGTTAGAGAGTTTTTAATGTAAATGTGATTTTTATAATTGTTTTTCGTGGTTGATTTATTTTATATTCTTAATTTTGTGTGTTTGTATTGATTATTTAGCACAAAATCTAATTTACACAACAAAATTCAACCAAAAGATTAACTAAAAAATTTAAAATTATAAAAAAGAAGAAGCTAATTTGGGTACTTTTTCATTCAATTTGAAAGAAAAACACTTAGAAGAAGCTCTTTTTCCCACCTTAGCGCTAAATAAAAAAAAAAAAAATGCCATCACCTCTATGTCTCTCTCTCTCTTTATCTGGTCAGAGGTGCATAACGCATAACTATTTCACTCGAGCTCAACTCTCGCGTTAAAACTGGCTTTGGGTTTCGTCACGTACGCTGTATTTTTACTTTACTTTTACTTCACGTGATTGCTGCTGCTCTCTCTCTCTCTCACTAGGAAACCATAATCCAGGCATTTGAATTCCTATCAATTTGCTTTATTTGGATTTCCTCTTGAAACGGCATGGGATTTATTGACATAAGCAATAAATGATCACATGACGCCTATTCCAAAGTTCACATGGGATCACGTACATCACTCTTCGTTCACAAAATGACCCCCCTCCGCCCAATCATGCATCATTGAAGGCGCGCCCGCGCACACATAAATACATAACCCAAAAAAGAAAAAAAATTCAAAAATACAAAAAGAATAAATCTGTTGTACTAGTCCTTTCATTACAAAACACAAAGATGAAAGGGACCAAAAAAAATAAAAAAACAAAATTTAACAACATGTAAAGAAAGTAGTAGACAGATTGGCAACGTTGTGATTATCAAATCTAATGTTTTTCCAAAACAGAAACCTGAGTTGATTGATTAAGATCAATCCACTACGGAACTGACTGAGTTGAAGCCTACAAGAACACGATTTCCTTATTTGCGTGTCAAAGCCATATTGGTAAGTTTGAGCCCTGGAGGACCATTTTACTACGTAAGAAATTGGTATCCTGCTCTATTCAATTACGAGGAGCAGGCGGCTGGCATGTCATCCCATCCCAGGTATCCAATTTGCACGCTGTCGTGGGTGCAACTGCCTAAACTTAACGAACTATCTAGGCCGGCGGCTTTCAAAATTCATGACCACACATCACCTTCCCTTCATTTGATTTTAAAGTATAAATCCAATAATATATCAATTTTTCTATCTTCTAAAACATATCTATGCAATATATACACCTATGGTCCTCTGTTTCCAACCAGGAAATTAAAGTCAAAACTACCGTACTGCTTCCAGTTCGATAAGTCACCCTCAGCAACCACAATCTTCTGGTAGTTCGCACAAACAAACAACCTTGTCAGATGTCCTTACTCTCATTATTACACCAAATTTAATTATAATATTTATACTTTTTTTTTATTAAAATGGGTGTCCACGTAGATTGATTTTTGTACATTGATAAATTATCTTTCATGCTTGTGAGAATTTCTTTTTAGATCCAGGAATAAAAATGTCTTTCAATAAGATTTCATACACGTCCAAACTAATTTTTTTTCTTGAATGCAGCTAAAAGTTGTTTTCTGACATACTATTTTAAAATATTTTAAAAATAAATTTTTAAGAATATTGATATCAAATTCTTAACTTAATATCTATACTTATTTATGAGTGACATATCAACTTGTGGTTAGTGTATCAGAATTTTATCATAGGTTTGTGTTGGTATTAATGTTTAAAATTTCAATCAAAATATTCAAACGTTATACTTATTATCAGGACCAATTATCAGGACCAACTATTTTTCTGGAGCATTATCCAACGAAAAAGAGTAACAGATGGTATGACATGACAGTACTACTGTAGTTTATTGTAGTTGTTTTGTGTTCAAAAAATAATTTCTTTTAAGAACAAGGATAATACTGATACAGTTACTAGTTAGTGTAGTTAGATTTTATGGTTCAGTTTTATCCTTTCAGGTATAAGCAGCTAGATTTTAAAAAAGGAAGGAAATTCAAAACTTTAAAATTCATATCCATGCCTTAAAAATCAAATATTAAAACATCATATTAACTAAAGTAAATTATACAGCAAAAGAATCACGTGTTACTTTTTCTTTTTCTTTTTTACTCAGCTGATCTAACATGAAAATGAATTGAATTATATATATATATATATATATATATATAAGCGGGTCTTGGACCTAATAAAAAAACAATAAATTTTGGTTATTTGGTTAAAACATCAAGTTAACTAAAGTAATTTATACATGCGCATAAATATAATTTTAAAAAATTAAATTTATTTATTTATTTTCATTTTGACAACATAAGATGATATAAACCTTAATAAAAATTGTGTGGATGTAGCAGTCATCCAAGTTGTGGCTTTCATTTGTTGTACCTTTGGAGCTAAAACTTTTTGTGTTTTATAAATTTCCATTTTTCTTTTATTATTTTCATTTTCATTTCTTAGAACACCAAACAACGCCAACAACAACAACAACAAGAAAAAACCTTTAAAATATATAACAGCATCATCGATAATTAGCTGTGTTTGTAAGAACAGCATACCAAAAAAACAAAAAAGTCAAGAATATATTTTTTTCCTTTTTTTCTCGAAGCCTCCAAAGTCCTAAATCCCATTCTTCTCTTTCTCCGAGCTCGATCTTCTTTCTTCTCTTTTTCTTTCTTAGTATGTATAAATGAATACCTTCCTTCCTTTTTTTTTTTTTTTTTTTTATCCTTTTAACTATCTCAGCGTAATCATTGCTGTTAATTAATTAAGGCTTTGATCTCTGCAATTGCGCGGTTAATTTTGATATTTGGTTTCGATTTTGGATTTGAAGATCACGGAAATCAAGCTTGTTTTGTGAATGGAGGGAGAGAAAAGGAGCTACGATATTAATAATTAGGAAAAAATGTTGTATTTGAAGCAACCAAGCTCCATTGTATGCAAAGGTTGTGATTCTTTCTTTGGATATTTTTTTCTTTTCTAATTTGTTTTCTGTTGCATGTTATTGCGATAAATTCCCTGAGCCTGAGGCTCGGGGAGAGAGAGAGAGAGATCTAGTAGAATTTGGAAAATTTAAGAGAGAGATCGGTAGAGAGAGTGATGGCGTCGTCGATGGAGAATGAAGGACCGTCTTACTTTCCAAGAAAAAGTGAGACTAGAATTGATGAAGAAGAGTTACTGCCGCGGCCTGACCAGGTTTCGATGCAGAAATTCAGGCTCTATAAGACTCAATCGGTGGGTACTCGTTCATCTTCTTCTTTTTTTTTCCTATCTATATATATATATATATATATATTATATTTTGCGATCTCTGTAATTTTATTCTTTGAATTGCTTAACCATGTTGTCATTTCTTGATTTTGGATCGGCTGTAAGTAGACTGCATTGACTTTAACGCATTTTAGGATTTTTGAATTTGAATTGAATGATCAAATGCTCAGTTTAGATGCTAACTATACAAAGTAGAATGACTCTGTGTTCTCTTCTTGTTTGATGATTTATGCTTGTTACTATTTTTGGATTTGTACTTGAGGTTATGCTATTTGATTTGCAAGAAGTCAAGGCCTGTTGTTATAGATGCAGCATGGCTTGATTTATAGTAATGCACTATATAATTCTTTGACTGATTTATGTTGTCCTGCAGAAATTTTACATGATAGGGAGGGACAAGAGTAGGACGTATTGGAGAGTGCTAAAGATTGACCGACTAGACCCTTCTGAGTTAAATATTCGTGAAGATTCTACCACGTATACGGAGAGTGAATGTTATGACCTGTTGAGGCGGATACACGAAGGAAACAAGGCTACTGGTGGGCTTAAATTTGTGACTACATGCTATGGAATTGTTGGTATGTGCATTTTAGTTGCATCATTTCCACTTTGAGACTGTTAGTGATGTTGCCGTTCTCATAGTGATTTTCTCTTTATAGGGTTTATCAAATTTCTGGGGCCATACTACATGCTACTTATTACAAAGAGAAAACAGATTGGTGCAATCTGTGGTCATAACGTATATGCAGTCTGCAAGAGTGAGATGATTCCACTTCCAAATTCAGCTGTGCAGTCCAGTTTCAATAATTCTAAGAATGAGAACAGGTCTTTAGTCCATTCTGCATGTAAACATAGCTCATTTATTTTAATTGTTGGAGAAATCATGAATGGTAAACCAAAAGCTGCATTTGTTGTTGTATTTTGTACAAATTGTTGTGCCCTTCCTCATCATCTGACAGTTCTTTCGCACTTTGTGTTACAAGCTTGTCCCCAGATTTATTTGCTATGTGGGGCAATAGTGAATCCATAGACCACTTCCTCTTATGTTGTTCAGTTTATTGGAACCTTTAGGCTAGGCCTTTCACTATCTCCAGTAAGTTTTGGGTTTGCTAGAATACTTTAGAAGAGCTGCTCCTGACAGGATTTCTGTATCTTGGTAAATCAAAAGGAGGCAAAGTGTTGTGAAAGTGTGCTCTTTTGCCTTGATTTGGAATAGTGTTTCACTTTCTCGTGGTGCTATGCCACAGAAGTTTTTAGAGGCTTTTTTCAAGGATCATATGCAGAGAGACTTGAGAAATTTGGTGTTTCAGCCCCCTTTTTTTTTTTTGTTTTTTTTTCCCTGTTTCTATTTGGAGGATTCTAATCCTTTCCCTCTGTACTTTACTCCTCCTTATTCTAATAAAACTTCATTTACCATTTTTTATGTGTTTTATTTTCATGAATTAGAAAGATTATGTAGCACTGGTCTCCGATCAAATACTATTTGGCCTGCAAGATTAGAAATTTCACCCTTCTCTTGTAGCAGATTAATTGTTTGCATCTTTTTTTCCTTTTCTGTATTTATTGGTGCTATGCCGGTGGAGTTATATAGGCTGAGAAGCTTAATGCTTTTGCTTCAAATTGTTTTATTTTATCCTTTTAGTTTTTCTCGGTGAAATATTCAACTGCAGGTTTATGGGAAAATGACAGTTCTTTATTCTTTCCATAGCTCATTTTTTCCTGTGTGTTCTTTCCTTTTGTAGCAAGAGTTTGAGCATTACATTTTCTGAGGGTTTTGTTGTAAATTTGATTGTTTTTATTTCGTTGATGACATAGGTACAAGAAGCTTTTATGCACAGTGGACCTCACGAAGGACTTCTTTTTTAGCTACTCATACCATGTTATGCGTAGTCTTCAAAAGAACTTGTGTGATAGAGAGACAGGCCAGGTCCTATATGAAACAATGTTTGTCTGGAATGAGTTCTTGACTCATGGCATCCGAAATCACCTTCAAAATACTCTGTGGACAGTTGCTTTGGTGTATGGATTCTTTAAGCAGGTGAATAATGGATGGTAGATAAGTTGCTTAGACTCTAAATTTCTTTTCCCCTTTCAGATCTATAGTTGTTCAAACATGCTTATTTTGTGAGAAGGTGTACTTTAATTATGACGTTTATTTCACTGTTGGCTTCATGCTATATAAATGTAGGCCACACTTGCTGTATCTGGGCGGGAGTTCAAACTTACCCTTATTGCAAGACGTTCACGCCATTATGCTGGCACTAGGTAAGAGTTTGCCTATGCTTTTTTCCTCCCAAGTTTCTTTGTGCCTAGCATGGGAGTCATAGGCAGTTGCTCAATATTATAATGGCTTCCTACATGATGACCATTGCTAAAAGAACAAGAACAAGAAGAATAAGGAATAGAGAAGAATGAGAGAAAGGGAGAGAAAGGAACACCCTAGGCACCAAGTCTAGAACATGACTTTAGAAATGCCTATCTTGTTGCATAACTCACATATAGTGAAATTGATTACCTTACATTGCAAACTAAGCTTTTCTCATTTAGTAGTATGCAAAATAAGTTAAAGTTCTCAAATTGGGAAAACTTCCAACTACACCACAATTCCTAAAAGGACCAGGTTTCCTAAATAATAGTATGCATTCTTAATAAACTTGGATTTCTAAATAGATTAATGACTTCTAGTTAGAAAAAGCAACTATACATAACATAATAGCTATACAAAACAGCCCAAGACGCAAGATATTGCCGAACCACTACTCTGCCCCTACTTACAGAATCTATCCGAACTCCAAATGGAAACTTTTAACTAAGAATCTATCGTTGAATTTGTTGATGAACAATCTCTATCTCTCTTTTGGTTTTTCATAGTAAGTACATCTTCTTTAACCATAATTAAGCAGGTTATGATTTTCTTTTCTTAGCATTTTTGAAAGTAAATTCTGACTATTATTTGAAGACTATGGGTGGTTCTGTTTCAGTGGTTACCAAGAAATCATTGTTCTCAGCCGCCCTGTATTTTAAGTCCATTTCAAATCCTTAATTTCCAGTTATGCTGTTTCCCTGAATATATCATACAACAACAAGGACAATAACCAAGCCTCAATCCCAAACTATTTAGGGTCGGTTAATGTTTTTCTGAATTTATGATAGTTTTTGATATTGTTTGATTAGCTGCTGGTTGAGTTGATGATAGCTATCATGTGGTTGAATATATATTGCCATTGCTTTATTAATTTTCACATTGGTACGTCTTTCGTCGGTGCGTCTCCATTTAGGTATTTGAAACGTGGGGTAAATGAGAAAGGCAGAGTGGCTAATGATGTTGAGACGGAACAGATTGTTTTCGAGGATGTTCCTGAAGGATTTCCTACGCAAATAAGTTCAGTTGTCCAGAACCGTGGCTCCATCCCACTATTTTGGTCTCAGGAAACCTCACGTTTGAATATTAAACCAGATATTATATGTATGTCCTTGACCTTGTGGCATTCATAGTGGCACTTCATCTTTTTTTTATTTTCACACGGTTTCTTGTCTTTTACAGTGTCAAAGAAGGACCAAGATTATGAAGCGACAAGACTTCATTTTGAAAATCTTGCAAAGAGATATGGAAATCCCATTATTATTTTGAACTTGATTAAGGTAAGTCTCTTACTTATTCAGTAGTTCACATCTCTATTCTTCTTCTGCTGCAGCTGCAAATGTCTTGAACAAGTCTCACAACATGAAAGATCTTTAGATGATACTGGTTGTTTATTACAAAAAGTTGGTTGTTTCAGTTTCTTTGGTTAATATCATGTCTTGATTCAGATTTTGAATCATTTTCTTTTTTGTATCTATCTTTCATTGTTTCACAATCATAGACACAAGAGAAGAAACCTCGAGAGTCGATTCTCCGTGCAGAGTTTGCTAATGCTATTGATCATATTAATAAAAAATTATCCGAGGAGAACCGTCTAAGGTTCCTTCACTGGGATCTACACAAACATTCTAGAAGGTATCTCCTTTTTAACTTAATCATCTTAATTTTATATCGATATTGTGACAAAAATTGATTCTTCCTGCAACAAACTCGCTTTTATTGTCAACTCTCAGGAAAGCAACAAATGTTTTATTACTTCTGGGGAAAGTGGCCGCATATGCTTTGACGCTAACGGGTTTCTTTTACTGTCAAGTAACGTCAGACTTGAAATTTGAGGGGTTTATGAATTCACCGTTCACCGAGTAAGTTGGTTCTGTCACTTTTCTGTAGCTTCCCCAGCCATTCATGATATTTTGAACAACATGATGCTTACCCTGAATTTGTGGACACATCAGCAACTTAAATTATGAGTGCATGCCACTGGATCTAAAATGCATGATTTCTGTTATTAGCATTAACTTCATTTACGAGTGGATCTATTTCAATCTTCTTACTGTTGCTCTTGTCTGTTGATTATGTTGCACACTACGTACTGAGTGTAAGCAGTAAAGAGCAATAAAAATCCTGGAAATGTTTGGTGTTTCAGGGACCAATGACATTAAAAAATTTTTTTAAAAAAAATTATATGACTGGACCAATGATATAAGCAAACCATAGTTTTGGCCCTAGGATCTGTGTTGTGTATGCCAAACGGACTTCTCATCTTTTCTAATCAATTTACTGTTTACATCAGTGCTTGAATCTTAGAAGCCAGGTATAGTGGATGCTTGATGGATCGCATTTGATATGTGAAGATATGATAAAGTTTTTTAGCATTTATTTCCGAGGAAGCTACTTCTCATGTTTTAATGATGGAAAGATTGGCATTGCCCTTGTGATGCAGGAATGCTGAGAATGGCAACTTATCTCCTCAGTATAACAGTAACAATGATACTGAGGATGGGAAAAACTTAGAGGAGAAATCTAGTGGAGGTAACATTGTTGGTAATGGAAATCATTCTATCAAGGGCCCAATGTTCCAGATGGGTGTACTCAGGACCAATTGCATAGATTGTCTTGATCGCACAAATGTTGCACAGTATGCATATGGGCTGGCTGCTCTTGGACACCAGCTTAGTGCCTTAGGAGTTATAGATAACCCAAAAATAGACCTTGACGCACCTTTGGCTGATGAATTGATGGGGTTTTATGAGAGAATGGGTGACACACTTGCACATCAGTATGGTGGCTCAGCTGCTCATAATAAGGTGATTCTAAGTTGTAACGCTGATGTTATTAGTTCTAAATTATAACAAGTTTTCTCCTGTAGGTTTTGTTTGCTTTTAATCTTTTCTCTTGAAACTTTCAATGTAGACTTGTTAATGGATCAGTTTTTTTTGTAGAATTTAATTTAGTAGTTCCAAAGTAAGGAGACTTTATACTCTTGACATTTAATCCATGAGCTGTGTTTAGTTGTTTTGGAGTTTGAGGAAAGAGCATTCAAGGTGGAAGAATCCACCAATCCTCTTTAATGGAATATCAGATTAAGATTTCATACAATGGCATACAGAGAATCTTTCTCAGAATGTGTAGATGATGCGAAGGAGTTGAGAGATCTTTTATCTTGTATGTAGTTTATGTTCCTTGTATGTGGATCCCACTCTATTGGTGCCTTCAAAATTTTCTTATCAAAACAAGGAAAAAATAAAAAATAAGATGACGAGAATGTTTATATCATAATTTTAGAAGCTCAAGTTATCACATGGAAAAATAATGCTATCATAAAGTTAAATGTGGTCAGGATTTACTAATGACAGATCTTATTCATGGTGTCTTATGTTTAATGTAAAGGACGTGTGTTCTCATGGAAGATGGGAGGAGAGGAGGAGGGCCTGTGCTGGGCTGGGATTGTCAACTGTAACAGAATAATATCTCTCTTATGGATCCTCACTGAAGCAATTTCTTTAGATTCATTTTTTGCAGCTAGCAGATAGGATGAAAAGCCTTTTTTGCAGTCAGTTATGCTATGGGTTTGATAGTGGGCTTAGGACTTTCTTTTGGCTTTGTTGCTAAGAACGTACTTGTGAACTCTCCTCCATTGATAAATACTCCTACTGGTTTCAATTGTGTTAATAGTTCTAATTGAAGCTGCTAATTTGATTCTTAATTTGATTCGTTATTTCTTAAGTTTTTGAACTGTTGATAATGTTAGATATTCTCTGAGAGAAGGGGTCAGTGGAAGGCAGCAACACAGTCCCAGGAATTCTTCAGAACCCTTCAACGGTATTACAGCAACGCATACATGGATGCAGAGAAACAGGATGCAATTAATATGTAAGTTTTGCATTCTGTCTTATTATTTTACTACTTGATAAAGACACGATCTACTTGATAAGAGCTTATGATGTCCTGAGTTGTATTGTATACTAAAAGTTGGAGAAAATGCTGTCCCTCTTCAAGCTAATCAATCTAATTTAGGACTTCTATGTATTGATAAGATGGCCAATTTGTTCACGGACCTCTGAAATATGGTTGGCCTGTTATGAGTTCAGGGGAAAAGTTGGTGGTCATTGAGATAATTGGAGTTTGTCATTGCCTTTATTTTATCAGCTTGATCATCCACAAGTGATTTGGTGCAGTTGTTCTATCATTAATGACTTTAACAACTATAACTTGAGCAGATTCTTGGGGCACTTCCAACCACAACAGGGTAAGCCTGCACTCTGGGAGTTGGATTCTGACCAGCATCACAATGTTGGAAGGACTGGACAAACAAACGTGGATCAAGATGCAAGGTATTTAGCTGGCCAGACAAAGCCTTGAACTTCAGAAATTACACATTACATAATGTACACGTAAATGTGTTTCTCCATTCATTTCTTTACTATTTCTGGTCAATCTGATTGTAACTCAATCTACCCTGATGCTTCATTTTTCAATGGTCAATGTTTTAAACGAAGTATAAAGCATAGGCTTAATGTTTAACAAATTTCCGTCATCATATGTGCTTGAGAGACTGCCAAAAAATGCATTGATGTGTTACCATCTTGTGTACATCTTTCAAACTTTCATTTATTGTCATTTCCACCCTTTCTTATGGGGCTGGGGGTAAGGTTGATTGTTGTCTGGAGGTACACTTATTGTCATGAGCTTATTGGTTCTGTAGTCTTTTCTATCGTAACTCTACCTTCTTTATTACAAGGATGCTAGTTGACTAGATTTGTAGTTTTGGCTTATCCTTTGACTGCCAAATTTTTATATTTAGGTCTATTTTCAAAAGGTCCTTATCTGATGGAAATATTCTCCGGAGAAGTAGCTCACCTTTGTCAGCCATGAATGTCAAGCAACAGAAATTTTGCAGTTCAGCTTTTTCAGATCAATTTCAAGAGGAAAACAATGCTCTTTCAGAATCATCACCTGAAATATCTACTTGTGAAAGTGATATAGCTTTTTCAAGGTCTGATTGCTTCCCTTTTTGTCTTTTTGGAATAAAAAAAATGTATGTTTGCTTGCTGAAAGTGATGCAAAGTTTTCCTTGTATAGAAAAACCAAGAGTAAATTATTATTTGATCCCTGTGTTTTTAATGAAATAATTGGTTAATCCCCTTTGTTATTATTTTAAAAAAAAAAACTAATATTAAGTCCCTATGTTTTCATATTTGATTGTGACTTGGTCCTTGTGTTGGTTTTTCGTCATAATTAAATTGTTTTTCCTAAAATATCCTTCATTTGTAATCAAATTTTCCAATGCTACCTGCTACAGACAATTAAAAGTGCATTTAAAAAACTACTGTAGAAATTTCAAAAAAAAGTCAACAATCAACTTTGGTCAACAGACTAACTTGTACTTTTCAAAAACAGAGGGACTAACTTGCAAAATCATTAAAAAAAAGGGATTAAATTATAATTTACTCTATTTTGGATGATGATGTTTAGCGAGTTGCCAGTCTCCCTTCCTCTAGCTACTCTGCTTAAATTTTTTTTTTTTTTTGTTTTTTACTTTTTTTTTGGTTCCATGATTGATCTGTTTGATTTAAAACATTACTTGAGTCCCTAGTTGACTAAATTAGTGTCGCTATTATGCTCACTGATGCTCCCTGTTTCACTTACTAGTTATTCAGTGCTGCATGTAGGTACACTCCGTCAATGCCCCGCAGACAGCTTTTCGGAGATGTGCAAAGAGATCGCTACCTGGAAAGCGATCATGTTTGCTTCTCAGAACATGGAGATACATTTAATTGCTCAAACTTTGTTGATATAGACTGGCTTTCTTCCTCTGGGAACTCATGCGAAGAAGAGCCATTTGAGAGGTATTTTTTTTTTTTTATCAATCATGAGGATGGATTGTGATGTGAAGTTTTATGGAACAGAAGTGTGAAAGAGCTGACCATGGAAGTAGGAATGTTTTATTTATTAGAAAATGCCAAAAAATGGGGCTTGGTATAACAAAAAAGTGTATGTATGAGTGTGCACTTCTGGCGCATCATGCCTTAAGGTGGAACCAGTAATTATAATTTCCTTCATCATTTGTTTTGATGTTTGTGCAGGTCATCATTGCTCACGAACTCTCCAAGTGATGGCTTGTCATCCGAAAATGTCGTCAATGGAATAATGGGTGAAACAACCCCATCCACAAGTGAAAATGGATCCAGCACGAAGGTCAGTCCCCTCCACCATTTTGTGGGTGCATCTTGCGTGGTTTCTTAGTAATTCAACAATAGCTAGATATTATTTGTTGTCAAACTCTGTAAAAAACAAAAAAGGCCAAAACCATTAATTAGCCCCAATGTGTACCGCAATTGATTGACTGAGCTGTCATTTTTTTTATTTTTGCAGTCAAATTACAAACTTTGCCTCATGTTAACCACAATTCCAATAAGTAACTACTGTTAAACTACACCACTAAGACTGTTTTGTAGGCTGCCCTGTTATTTTTTTAATTGACAAGTCAATATCAACATAAATTAATGAAATACAGTTGAATCTGGCTTCTACCAACATCAGTCACCATTTTCAGCTCTCTCCAACTAAACTATATGTCCTATCTTTTCCTTGCTGTTTCCCACCGAACAACAGAAAATTCTGAAGTTGAAATTCTAAAAGCTTCTCATTGTCACGAAGATCTTTTTTTTTTTTTTTATCCTTTTCTTTTCCTTGGTTGACTCCTAAATTGATCGTCAGAACCTATTTTCTCACATTATTGCATTTTAGGATCCATGTGTAACCACCAATACTACTTCACTGGCTGTGCCACCAATTTTCTGGAATGCAAACAGAACCTCAAACCTCATCTAATGTTACACAGGAGCTTATAATTGTTGATAAACTAACACTGCCTCGACTCTTACAACCACAATCATCTTCACTGTCAGTTACTTCTCTGTTCAATCCCAGTATGTTGCCACTTTCATAAATCAACATCCAACCATCAACTAATTCCTAAACGAGTCCTTGCAAATCACCAAACCCAACCTTACTGTCTCAAAATCCATTTCTCCTTCAAAATTTTCAAGCCTGTCAGGTTTCTTTGCAAAGAAGTCATCTCCAATGATGACAACAATCAGGATTGCAGAAGTAATTGTGTACAATTTGAACATGGATAGTGGAGTTCGCATTCCATACCCGGCTGATAACTACTACTTGGTTGTTTCTCAGTTTAGGTGGTCATAATCAATGATATTTAAGAGTTTTTGCATGATTATGAGAAACAAACCAAAGCAGATGTGTTAGAACAGAATACATGGTTGACAATGTCTTTGATGGCAATGGTGCTGAGGTGGAGAAATGGGGAACTCTAATGGTGGCGACAGAGGATTAAATGTTTATGAAGTATTTGAAATGTGTTTTTATAGACAGCTGTGCAATGGTGAAGACGAGATTTTTATCCCATCTGTTTTTATTTGGAGCCGCCCTTTTATTTTTGTGCATAAGGTTTATGGAGGGTGCATTGCCTTCTCATCATTTCTTATAGGTGCATCGTATCATGTTGCCTCATATATGCTACATTACCTTTATTTTGCCATTTAATATGCCACTCAGGTTGAATGAGAGCAGATCTGGGTGGTCTCTTACTTAATTTTGCCAATTGGTAAAAATGTGGTATTGCAGTCCAACAAAGAAAATAGAAAAAGGGTTGAATCAACCAGTTGATGTAAACATAAGGACCCATTTATAGGCCCTGGCTGTAATAATGTATTGTTTTTAGTCAACAGAAAGTACTGAGTTGCTAAGAAACAAGTAATGAACTGTATTTCTTTCAGCACAACTATTTCTGAAATTTGATTTGGAAAAATTTTGAGGTTTTCTTTCTTGAAACATGTGTTCTTGAAGAATTTCCATTAGTTATACAGTAGGCTAAATAATATCCCTGAATAAATGACTCCTGATGATTACAAAGCCTGCTTACAAAGACTTGCTTTGCTTTTACCCTCAGGGGTCTATATGACCATTGCTTCATAATTAAAATTATAATTAATTTACAGAAGCTCACAATGATATGATTAGAATATTTAAAGGAAGTTGACTGTGTCTGTCAGTATTTTTGGATTCCAGAAAAATTCAACCCACTCGGCATGTTAATTATTTGACCTTGCTTTCATGTTTTATATTTCATAGGAAAGTCAGCGGACTGGAACGGAGCCATCGTATAGTAATCCAGCAAATTCCAACGTGCTCGAGGAATTTTCAGATTGCTTTGTGCAATGGGTAAACTGTGGAGAGACACTGTGCCATTGAAGTCGAGCTCATTTTCCCCTGAATTATCATATATCTCAACCTCTTTAGGTTGAACCTGCTCGTAAGAGGCTTTTCAATTGATATAGAGAGGTTGCTGGGGATAGAGGGAGCAGAAAGAGATGAAAGGCGCTTGTATGGGCATTCTTCTGTAAAATATATGCAAGAAGTTCCCTCAGCCCTTGTGTGTGACTTGCGGCATGGGTTCCATAGCGGAAACCTCGATGGAACCTGATACCTAAGTACAAAAGAGTAAATAGCCAACAGTCGAAAGAATATTCTTTTTGGAGCTCTTCCTTTTTCTCATTTCTTACTAGTCTGCGGACTTTGTAGGTTTCAATCTTGTAAATATCTTATACTGTGCTCTTTGAGAGCTCCTTGTTTAGAAGAATTGAAAATCATTGATTCTTTATTTCCCTTCATGTTTATCCGTGGTCGTCAATTGTGATGCTAACAATTCAGAGAAGGTGTTCGGAGGAAAGTCGTGCTGTTATTATAGGACTGATGTTTTTAAGCCATCCAAATTTCTAAAACCTCGTGTTCTGGTTTCCCCAGCTGAGGTGTTTTGTCGAGTCTTTGGTTGATTGGATTTGAAAGAAAAGGTCGGGAGCGTAGGTCCTAGTTTAACGTGATTTTCTGCTATTCTGCAGTCTTGTTTTTGAATTATGATTTTGGCATATTCTTTTGCAAGCATCATTTGATGTAATTTGGGCTATTCTTATTTTTGTTCAGCTATTATATCCTTACTTGGAGTGCACGTCTTGCAATGTTTTTTTTATCTCTTTCTTTTTTCTTTTTTGGCAGGTGCGGAATAAACATTTGACGGTGATCAACATTTTTTTCTCTTGTGCATAGATGTTTCACTTAACAAAATTATAGTAACTTTTGATGCATGGAATCCAACATGAATAAACAGCTTTTAACTTCCCGCCTAAATCACTATTCTTTTTTATGTTCATAATATTTTTTAATATTTTAGTCCTTAATTTTTTTTTTTTAATTTCAAACTTTACTTATATTGTGATTTGGTCTCATTTTGTTTTAATTATTTTTATTATTTAGAATTTACTACTTTAATTTGTCATTTTTTTTAATATAGTCAGATGTTATTAATATTATGATCATATTATAATAATATTATTTTTCTACACTAAGTATTTACTATTTATTTATTTATTTATTTTTGAATTAAATAATTAAAATAATATTTTGGCTTAATCATTCAATGATTCAAATTAATATAGTTTTTTATTTTAATATTATTCATTATTTTGTAAATAAATATATAAAAATTAAATTCATATTTTTTAAAAAAATCGATACTCATCAACATTAAATAAAAAAAATATTTGTTCAATTCTATGTAAGCTTTAATAATTGTTATTTATATTTTTCGATACAATCTTATGAAATACTAAAGCTTTTTTTTAAAAAAAATTATTTAATTTTCTTTTTAGTTAATAATCCATGAATTAACAAGCATAAATTCTTTTTCTAAAGAAAAAAATATGAAAAACACAAATAAGAAATAGTTAAATACAAGATTTTTTATTAAAAAATTATAAATAATTTTTTTCATATTTGATTTCATATATTTTTATAGATTCACACCATAAAATAGTACTATTAAACCGAAATGATTTCTCTAAATAATTTTGTATATTTTATTCAACATGTTGTATAGCACGAGGGAAAAACTAGTCATGTCTAAAGAGTTATGACTCATTTGACCCAACCTTTTTTTTTTTTTTTTTTCCTCTGTTCCAGAGATAGGAGATTGCCATGTAACAAAATCATGGTAAAGCCCCAACAAAATCTCATTTGCCAAACTAGGTCACGTGGAAGTGCTTGCACCATAACAAAGTAAGGACAGTTTTTGTCATTCTATAAAGATACCAAGAAGACGCATCCCAGTTATTGAAAACTAAGTCGCAGCCAAAATAAACTTTTAAGCCAAATACACAAAATACTAAGTTTACTAATTAATTACTCTTTTGGATAAATGGCCCAAATCTTTAATGAACACTTTGTTTGAATATTGTTTTTTCAACTTTTAATTTCAGATTTGACATTTTTAAATTTTATATTTATTGAGATTTAATTCATCTTATAATTTTTAACTATCACTTTCTCTTCTAAAAAATTTAATTGAGTTTACATTTTGCACACATATTGAAAAAAAATCCAATCAATTTTTTTGATAAAACTCAGAGAATTTTTCGAAGTTGGAAAGTATATTTTTATTTTCTGAACATTTAAAATATAAAAAAAAAATCCGAAAGGATTTCAAAGTTTTTAAAGAGTTTTAAATAAATCTTATTGAATGATTTTCTTCATAGAGCAATATATGTAACCTTTATTTTTTATAGAAAATTAAAAGATGGACTAAATCTCAAAATAAATAAATGGGTTAATACCCTCACATGTTCTTATATAATATAATAAGTTAATTTTTCAATATGTTTCTATATATATATATATAAAAAAAGCTTATAATTTATCTTTATATTTTGAGATAATTTATAATCTATTCTTCTAGTCAAAATTTTTAGCCAAATAACGAAGACAATTTATCAAATCATATATCATATGCAAATTACATATTTAATTTGATCAAAAATTTTAATTAAAAAGACAGATTAGAAATCAGTTCAAAATATAAAGAAAGATTAGAGTTTTTTTTTTTTTTTTTAGACAGATTGAAAAATTGACCTATTATATAAGGACATGTGATGACATTCACCTTAAATAAATAAATAAAATTTAACAGAGGCCAAACCTGAAATTAAAAATTTAGACATTGATTTTTAAATAGACGAGAATTTAGATAAAGTTTGATCCATTTAGCTCTAATCTTTGTAAATAGGTTAGAAAAAGGGAGGGGAAAATAATCAAGTAGTTCCTTTCGCCCATGAATCAAACTATTCTTTTTGACACATGCATTCAGCTATAAATTGCATGTGCCCAACAAAGATATAAGCATACAAATAAGGTTTACATAGAGCTTGAATTGCTACCATAAACTTAGACGGCTGATTTTATTTGACGGTAACGAGAATGCCACGTCAAATAGCAACAATGGCTCTCTAAACTCAACGTTGCCATCATATCTTTTTCCAAAAGCAATGAATTTTTACCCTGTACCACTGAGATCCGCGTTCGGCCCGGCGGCCGCGTGTATACCAAATTCTGCCCCCAAATCACAACACATGCCAAAAAACAAAAAGAGAAGATTCACCATAAGGTTTATCAGGTCTGCTCCCTGTTGTTTGGACTAAATCCCAGACACAGAACAAACAAGCCATAAGAAAGTTTATCAAGTTACAGAGCTTTTGCTGAAAAAAGGAACCAAAATCAAAATCCCTTGCCCCTATAAAGAGGTCAACCAAGAATGGGAAAGATGCGGCTAACATGCTCTAAAGGAATGCTATCTGTAGTGTTCTTCTTTAGCTCAGGATGGTTAAATTCATTACTGGATAGGACAATGAGTTGGCCCCGCCCATAACCCTTCTCTAATATCCAACCACAACTGGCCACCTGCTGTTCTAGGAACTTGTCCAAGGACAGACCTTCAATGTTGATTGCCTGCCACATAAATGCCCAGTAAGATTTTGTACATGATATAACTAGCAGCTGATTTCGACATAGATATTTCTTATAACTTCTAGGAATCTCTCTCATCCATCAAACCAAATGGGTGCAGAATATATACACAAAGTACTTGGGGAAAACAAAAAAAAAAACAGCAGCTAACCATCAAACATAATACTACATATATAACAGATTTAATTAGACGCATCCAACTGCTCTAGAGAACATCAGTGATGCCATAATCAAAATCAGGCACCACTTTACCTACAACCTATTATGTCTTTCTTGTCAGTACAGAAAAAATGTCTCCAATTTAATGCAGGGCTGCAGCATGTTTTCAGCTTTTCTAAATAACACAAGCTTTCCACCACCAGTTTCATGCTATCAAACAAACCAGGGAGAGCAGACACAAAAATAAAGCAAAGTTCAACTTCCATATTGCAAAAGAATTTGCAAAGCATGAAATAGAAGCATACCTCAGCCAGTACAGACCTAGGAACCTTTTGATAAGTCAGAGAGAGTAGGTGAATTGCATAGGCTTGGATTGCTTGCTCAAAACCTGCATCCAGACCTCTTGTAAGCCAAACCACATGGTACACAAACATACAAAAGAGAGATACAAGGCATCACAAAAAACAGCAGGAGCCATATAATCACTGACTTGATAATAAAAGCAAGGGAAGTCAAACTCCCTTTATTTCTAAAGCAGAATGAAGAACATGGCTGTACACTAATCAACAACCGCTGCAGCACATAATTACCAATACAAGCATGTGCAGGCACAAGCTCGATTACATGATAGATTTTCCTCTAGCACCTGTATCTATCCAGAATAGCAATCATGCCCACAAACATACTACTCAGTCTGCCAATTTTTTTGCTCCTATGTGTCAAAGGCATACCCTTGTTATTTGTTAAGATGATCTACAACCTCTAAAATGTTATTCCTTGAATGTTACATATCCATCTAGACAACTAGGCAACAGAAAGACAACAAAAGGTATTATGGCCTATGGATAACAAGAGCAACTAACACAAAATTCATTAAAACCTGGCACAGCTTCAACTATGTGGCGACTCTTAGCGGCTTCATCCCAGAATTGACGGAACCTTCCTGTCTGCAAAGGAAGAAGTAGATGCTTTAAAGTCCATCTATTTCACACAACTGTACAAGTCCAGTAACGGTGGTGAGATATACCTCCAAGTAATGCGAGAGAACAATCAGTGTCTTGAACTGTTCCTCCATTTGCTGAAAAATGCATAACACAGAATGAATAAATAAATAATTGAAAACCAGGATACCAACTATATCTTCAAAGAAAAGCTCAAAGCTGGGAAAAGTTCTTTAACTGAACAACTTAAAAGATATAACCAGAAGAACATGAAAGCAAATGATTTTGGAATTTGAATAATCCAAAGATAGCAGACCCAATCATCACAGAAATCTCATAAAAGAAAATAGTCGACAAATGCAAAAGTCTGGGCAACAATCCCGAATACTGTATATTTGGATGTCATTTATAACTTCTCACAGAACAGACTGAATCCCTCAAAAAGATGCCCATCTCCCTTTAATGCTCACATGTACTTATATGACCTAAATGCATATGATTTCACACATGTACAAAGACAAGGAGAGAAAAAAACAATCGAAAAGAAGGATACCACTCGTTCTGGTATCAAAAAGAGACAAAGGCTAAAATCAGGAGCTGGCATTGCCATGAGTGCCTGTTCCAAAAGGGAGAGAAGACAAGAAAGAAAAGCAAGCATTAGAATGAGATGCCAATAATCTAGAAAAGTAATTCAAAAATAATTTAAGCTGAAGGGCTTAAGCAGACCTTAACGAGAATGAGAGCCACGATTTGGGTGCTCATTCTCTCCGGTTCAAACTGCAGAAACAAACATAATGCCACTGTTAATTAACTATTAGGTAGATAATAAAGCATCCACTTATCAAATCTAAATAAGACTACCAAACCAAAAAAATAAACAAATAAATACCTGATAAAGGCGAAGAAGGCAAAGATTTGCATCTAGACTGTATGTTTGCGACGAAACCTGATATCATCAAAAACATTTATTCAATTTATTTATTTATAATCAACGGAATTTCGAAGACAGTGAAAAAGGAAGAAAACAACAATTGAAAAGATAGAGAGAGAGAGAGTGAGAGACCTGTTCGTTAACGTAGTTTTCGAGATCGGGAAGGATGTCAGGATTGTAGGGATTGACGGCAACCAGCTCCTCCACTGTGTATGGTACTTGTTGTTGTTGTGATGGTTTTTGAGGAGCCTCTCTTTCCCTTCCCATTTCTTCTATTTTTTTCCTTTCTTATAGAATTATTTATCACTGATTGAATTTAATCTGTGTGAGAAAGAGAGGTAGAGCAGAGATAAAAGAAATAGAGGGATTGCCACTAAGAAGACGATGAAGAGGGGTTTTCTAGGGCACAGAAACGTTACAATTAATTACTCCAAAAGACCTATATGCCCCTATCCTCCACTTTTCTTTCTATTTTTTTTTTCCCTAAGACAAGCTCCGTCTGGAGCAGTATTGTCATGTTTAAGATTGGTTTATTTTCGAATTTCATATAGAGCTTTAAACTAATGTAAATTTGATTTACCAGTTTTCTGGTGCTGTTCAATCTTTTTCATGAACACAGAAAATCAAGTAAAAGGAAATATTTTTAAGATAATTTCTATTTGATTTTTTTTTATATCAAAACTATATATTAACCTTAATTTCAACCTTCAAATCATTTATTAGTTACTATTTTATAATTACTTTGAATCCAAGTCATAATAAAATATTATTTTGTATGATAAGTAAATTTTTTTTTTTTTTTTGAAAATAATTTTATATTCGCAAACATTCTGAGTGAATTATTTAAACTTGTTTGTGAAAATAATTGAGCTCTAAAATCATTAAACTTTAGCGTTTTTGCTTGATGACCAAGTCTGAATGAGTATTTTATTGAATCGAACTCGAGCATATTGGTTCGCCTTAAAACCCATGGGACAAAGAGTCCAACAACAAATCACACTTCATGTCGGGTCCTAACAAATGCCAGCTACATGAGAAAATACCTCCTCCCCTTATTTGGCTTTGCTATCAAGTGCCAAAATGGCTTTTTTAAAGTCAGCTAGGGAAAATGTTCAAACATTACAATTCTTTCCAATTTCGACTTCACGGCTCCATATCTGAATTTGATCAAATTCATACAACCGTAACTACAAATATACTTTTACCAAAAAAAATAAAAAAATTCCAAATCAATAATACAAGGACAGCAAAGAAGGCATCTCCGTCAGCATCTGCATACTCATCTTCATTTCTGCTGTGAACAGAACAAAATTACGAGGAATGTGAGTTCTGAGATTTTACTTATGAAGAAATGCTCATGTATCAGTACACCAAAGAATAAATTGATGATATCCTGTTCCTTCTTTGCCTACAGATTTAAAAGGTTAGATATCAAATTCCAACCCATCCATGTCTTTTTATCACAAGGGTTTGCAAAGTTTAGCTCAAACATCTCCTTGCTAACATGTTCACCGGATTCACAAAAGCCAACAAGCTTTGCTACGATTTCTGCGCTCTCTTGTATGTGCTGCATGTTAAGAGGGTCTGTCCACAATTTGTTCACCAGTTGAATCCTCCTTTGTTTCCCTCCTGGTGGGATTTCCCATTTTGCATATAGCATTTCTCTTTCATCTACTGTTAGCTTTGAATTCACCCTCTTAGCAAGATATTCTCTTTCTTGTTTCAGAGCCTTGATACTGCATAAAAACAACAGGTTACAAATGGTCATCCATCATTTTCTGAAAATAGATTGAGAAAAGCAGCACATCACTATCTGGTTAAAGACATCTGAGATACCTTGATGACACTGAGCTTGCAGGTTCATCACCTAGCAGTGCTGGGCTTGCATTGCCAAGTTCAGCCAAATGCTGCTCCAACCATGTCAACCGTTTAAGCTCAACTTCCAGATATATCTGATCACTAGGGTCCCCTCTGAATAGCAAATAAAATTGTGTACGGTGTATGATCGAAACATGGCACAAGTGCCACAGCATAATAATTTGTTTTCTTTGATCCTCAAAAACTAAGTGCCATGGCATGGGTGAGAGGTCCGTATTTACAGTCTCAGTAGTTGCTGCCTCATTTGACTCTAGCTCCAACACCTGATAGATGATAAAAATGCCTCATGTGCCTCTAAAATAAGTAATTAATTCAATGTAACAGCCATACCAATCATCGATCGACTCCAGAATTTTCTGTTCTTTTCTTGTTTCTAGTTCTCTCTCTATACCACTGCTTTGCAGGGGGGACAAAACACAAGAAAGCTAAATATCCTTCGGAACTCTTTAGAAAAAGTATGAAATTAGAAATCAAATAAACTGTTCAATTTTAGCAGTGATGGTCATAAGAAAATTATCATTTCTCCTTTCAGGGTTGACATATGCTATCATGCATATGCTTGGATGGCAGAAGCCTAACTAAAGAGAATTGTTTGTTTTTTTTCCTTCCCTAGAAAATCAAGCAATTGTGTTTGACCAAATCAAATATCTAGCAGTGTCATAATTGAGAGTATTAAAAATCAATGCCTTTAAAACTTGCCGTCCTTATTGACCCCAAAACTTGTACCATATTCATCGACCCTAATCCATGCAATTGAATCAAAGAATCAATTATTTCAAGAGATGTGGGATGTGAATTAAGAATAAGGAACTTCAAGGCACACAAATAGTTCATACCTGGCAAACTAGAAGTTGCTTTTGATATTGCAGCTTTGCCACCCTTTCTTTTAACTCGGTAACATAAGCTCTAATACTCCGTATGTTCTCCTCTGCAGCATTCTTGAACATCCTCTGCATTTTCTTCACGTTTACCGAATTAGAACCAGATGCTGGAGTTCCCTCCCTTGAAGGAGTGCAGTTGCCATTTTTACCACTCTTCAGTGGAGTAGCTTCAGATGACCTGGCTAATGAATTGCTACTAAACAGTGCATTACTGTTCTCAGGGACTCTGTTCTCAATCTCATTATCCACTACTACCCCACCAGAAGAGGACAGAGGTGAGCATGGGGACCTTATTATGTTTTGCACATTTGAACTGTTGTTCAATGCAAAAGGAAAGATCTTCTTCTTCTTTGTTTGTACCTTGGAGTCTGGAGTCTCCTCAGTACTTGGAAAAGACGAAACCAGCATGTCAATGGATTTCTGAACATTATCAAGCTTCCTTTCTAGAGACGCAATGGTACTTTCATGACAGTTCAACCGAGTGATCTCTTCTTTTAGGCTGGCAGGATTGGCCTTCTCTCCGATTACAATTTCTTCCGCAACAGAAGAAACTAGTTGCATGTCCTTGATATCAGACAGCAGCTTTGCTATGGTTTCAGCATTTGCTTGATTACCTAGTTTGTGGGAAGCAACCTCCTTATGAAGTACTTCAAGTGCTCGATTCGCTTCCTCACCCAGCTGCATCTGTCGCTGCTCAAGTTTACGAATTTCCTGAATTAGCATGGAAGGATCTGTAGTAGTGACTGAATGCCGAACCATTGCCTGCCTTCCAACTGCATTTTTCGGTTGTGCTTTTGGATTAGGCTTACCACCAATAACCTGTCCACTCTCAACGGGAAATGAAAGACACCTGGCTACTTGACCAGAGGGTCCATGTTGATTTGTACCCTGAAAGCGTCATGAGTTAGAAACAAATGGAAACTGAAAAATAGATGCAATGGTAGCCACCAGAAAAACCTTTTGCTCTTTGCGTGCAATTCTTTCTTGCTCAAGTTGGGATTGTGCATGATCTCTCTGCCGCTTCAGCTCTTTCATTTCTCTCTCCATCTGCATAAAAAAGAAGTGATTTACAAATGAACCATATAAAAATGGGAAAGTAGTACGAGTCTTTCTACGACATGAATACCCTTGGTACTTCGTTATCTTTTCATTCCAGTTAAATCAAATGAATACAAAACCATTATACCTAGCTAATAATCAAAGCTGAAACAAATGGACCCTTTGAAGAGAGGGAAAGCACTTTAAATAAGCACTATATCTTTGTATGTATAAATTTCCTACTTCATGTTCCAGAAATTTTAATGTAAAGAAGGATTTCACTAAAACTTAGAGATTTTTCAGCAGACAGTAACAGGATATGGAAAATCAAATAACTCTTAATGTCATGAAAGGGTTCCATTCTACTAGCTGGACTGGTAATCTACTTCCAATCTGAAATCCACTAGTCAGATCTTATCATTGAGATGGAAAATCAATTACTTTTGCATATTTCCAGACACTTATGTACCTGCTCAATTTTCAAATTCTTTTCTACTAGTAAAGACTTCAAATATGAAGCAGAAGAAGGCTCTGGACTTCGCAGCTCTGCTTCAAGTCTTTCAACTTCCTTCTGCAAATGCTTAACTAATTTCTTGTCTGAAACAACCTGGACCATTAAAGAACAATGTTTGCACACAACGTAGCAACAAGACAATCATAGGTAACACAGCAAGTAACTCTTATACTTCAGAGTATGAAATTGCAAAAAGATATCCAAATTCAGAGGCACATATTTTATGAAAGTAAGCTATATTGTTTGAAACCATATTCAAAAAAGAATGGTTTCCAAAGACCATTGGAAATCAGTATGCTAAACAAACTCATTTAATGAGACAGCAACTGATGGATAGTTGTCTGATGACAGTCAGAATAATTGCTGTCTGCCATCAACAAAAGCAACTTTAAGACTGTGTTGATAAGCACCTCAAATTTGAGAAGATGCTGTAGATTCATGGTGATAATACCAATGCTGGGCACCCAGCAAGTTAATCCAATATTTAGACAGAAAAATCTTTTCATAACTGAAGGATAGTTTGTTAATTCTCTGTGGAAGGAGGAAACTGTAATTAATTACATAACGTACCATATTTATTTGGGCATTGTTGGTAACTTCCTTTGCACTAGTTGCAAATGAGAGTGTATTCCTTGTTTGTTCCACATGACTTAAAGCTGGACTCATGGTGCATATAATTGCTGTTCTAGCATTACCCCCAAGTGAATGCTGCAATATCCGCGTGAGCTTTGAGTCCCTGTATGGTATGTGACCACTCCTCTTTCCACCACTGCAAAAACAAATTGGACAAGAGAAAGAGAATCCAGCACACCTAAGTTTTCACCAATTCAAGATACATTCAAGTCCTACAGCTACCAATGCTCACGATGAACGGAAAAATATTAACACATGCAACTTACCTCAACAAACACAATAATATTGCTTCATTTTTTAGTTCCTTTGAAGTTATTTTGTGGTCCTAATGAATGGTCTCAAAATTTGTACCCATAGCAAACAGGAAAGCAGTAGAGAGCTTTGGATATTTATGGTAAGTTTGTTTATTGAATATGACCAGATAACACAGCATACAGTCTGAAGTCCTGATGTATTACTTTGGTCTTTAGCACTAACTAACCTTAGCTTTCTGATCACTGTTGTGAGTGTCAACAAGCTGCGGTTAATATGACTACCTTCCTTGAATCTTGCACCATCTGCATTTGTTTGTGAGGCACGCTCACTACCAGCAAGATCCACGAGATTCTGTAGAACTTTAGCACATCAGTGAATTAATCATGCTACAACTAATTTTGATAGAGAAGAAAGTTCATAAACATACCAAACTAGCTAGAAAGGACTTCACACACCCTGATTTTTCCCTGAGACTGCTTTCAACAGTCTGTTATTCAAAACAGTTATGCATGCACCATAAGACGTTAGTGTCATAAGTAAACATTTAAACTTCAACCCAAAAAGTAACAAATGATTACAGACACAAGGAACCTGAAGGCCCACGACTGTAACAAGAGAAAAATACTTGCTAGAGAGAGAGAGAGAGCTATTTATATACTTCACATAACAGGTCATTTGTCAAAAAAACTAGTTGATTATGAGATGAACACTTGGAATTGTGAGAGTCTCATTAAGTAACAAAGAGCCAACTATAACTAAACCTAAGCACTACTAACTAGAATTCATAATGTGAGTTCAACTCACCAGCCGTATGATTTGATGTGATCTTGAGCTCTTATCATTCAGGTAAGTTTCTCCTACTTGCCTTTGAGCTGCAGTGTCAAATATTTGTTGGGATTATGTAATAATTCATCAAAAGGCAAATAACAGAAATGATTTAACAGCAACTTTTCGCATAAATATGGTACAGACATGATGGTAGATAGTATAGTGATTAGAACATCTGAACCAAATATATATAAGAGACATGAATAGTGAAATCACCTTCACAAATTCCAATCAAGTGTCTCAAATGATGAATGTCCTTGACAACTTCTTCAACTAGCTTTTCCACAATGATTCCTCTCTGTTTACAAGAAGAATGAAAAAATTATTAGCAATGCAATGCAAAAGACCTCCATTGCAAAATATTCGTCAAAGCATCAACTTTTTTCCATAAACCTGCATACCTCAGGATCATCCAAAAGCCTAAGATGACCAGATTCACGATTCAAAAGGTCCATAACATTCTCATTGTAAATCTCTAATGCAGACATTTTTAGAACAAACGCCCTCTCCTCAGTCTGTAGGTTGAAATATTTCATCAGCATACAAAAAGAAAAATACATTCCTCATAACAATTTCTTAATCCCAACTGGCAACTACTCAATGTGAACCTGCCGCACCATGCGCATCTCTGGATAAACTATAAATTCCTTTATATATTATTGTGAAATACATAACAAATTAAGCAATTACAAGGCCTTTCGTTTCATGCTTGAAAATTCACCAATTATTTCACTTATAAAACACAACTTACGTTTTTTATGTGCTCAAAGATGTCCGTAACAGCATTCTCCGTTATTCCTCTCATTGTATATGTCTTCCCACTACTAGTTTGCCCATAAGCAAAAATTGTCGCTGCAACAAATCAAAATTCCTTAATAAAACCTACCCAAATATATAAAATCAAATACATAATTCAAGGCATAATAATAATAATAATAATTACCATTGATTCCGGTAAGAGTAGACAAAGCAACATTCTTAGCTCCCTCCTCATAAACCTTTAGCGTGGTGCAACTTGGATCAAAAACCTTATCTATCAGAACAACATAATAATTACCAATTAACCCAAACTAAATTTATTACCAATTTCACCATCCAAATTAGAAATAAACGAAATAATTATAATTACCAAATGTATAAGAAGTAGCAGGTCGCTCATGATTGGGATTCTTGAAAAGAATAGTGTGATCATCGGGACAATCCCAAGCAATTAAATCATACAATGCTTGTTCTCTCCTGCTTAACGGCCGAACCCTAACGGTAACTAGAATCTTCTCTTCGCGAACCCTAGGTCCGCCGCCTGGAGTTGTTGATGGCGTTCTCTGTATCATCTTTGATGCTGGTGTTACTGGTGCCCCTAACATCTTTCTTTAGTAACATCCAGAAAAAACTGCACCGTTTTGTTCGCAACAAGTGACAGAATCAAGAAATGCCCAGATTCTGGTATCTGAAACTTGAAGAAATCAAGAAGTGTAGCTTAGATTATTTATTATTCCTTTTTTTTTTAATGAATCAACAAAAATCACATGAACTGAAAATTTTAAAAACAAAACAAACAAAGATAGAAACAAACGATTTTTTTTTTTTTGTAAAAAAAAAGGGTTGTTTACAGACGAGAAGTTGAAGACGGCAGTGAGTGAAATTCAAAATGTGGTTGTACGGACGGCAAGAGAAATGAAGTACGGATTTGTAACTGAATTTACAAGAGAGAGAGAGATGACAGGAGTTTTTGGGGATTTGTTACTGTTAGTAGTTCAAGCAGAGAGAGGGGGAAGAGAGGACGTAACGGCTAGCTTTGTTTTTGTTTTTTTTTTTTTTTTAATTTCCGGTTAGTGCGCGCACCACCTGAAGACAATAAAACAACTATATATTTTGAATTGAAAGAGAGAGCGGACCTCTCCATTTATCTATGCATGGCCATTTAATGTATTGTGTATGAAAAGAATTGGTATTACTTTATTTTTTTCTCCTAAAGTATTGTAATTTAGTAATTTTGAATTTAAAATATCAAATTATGTAATTTGAATTTCAAAGTATGAAAATTGAATAAATTTGATCCAAATTGTCTAATTTTCATTTTTTCTAAATGTCAACTAACTTAATTTTTTCTTTTTTAATTTAATCTTGAATTTATGGGTTTAGAGATAAATTTTTACATTTTGAAGCCGAGGTGTTCATCTCCAAACCTAGAAATTCAAGAAAAAAAAAACCAAAATTTCAAGAACAAAACCCAAAAATTCATCCACAAACCTAGAAATTCAAACATTGTCCGAAAAAACCTAAAAAACCCGGAACTAAAAATTCGATAGAAGACTTAAACCCTTCTCTTAATCAAAATTCAAATATATTAAATTCATATAAACAAGTGGCATGCCTTAATTTAATAAGATCCCGACATACCTTATCTCGATCCCTAGATTTCTTGGAGATGAGATCTACACTAGCATAATGTTCTCAATCAAGCAACCTTTTGAATTATTAACATTAATTACATCACTAGAAACCATAACAAAAGGCTTAAACCCTTTAGGCGATGCACCGATAGCTATAACCGAAGAATTAGACGACGAAACCGGCAACTTTGGTTGATTGATTAGTGAGATTTGAATTCTTGAAAATTTATTGGAAGGAGTAGGAGTAGGAGTGGTAGAAACAACGACCACGAGCTTATGCATCTCATGATCTTCAAAGACTTTTTGATGAGAAGGAATAGGAGCGATAGCACTATTTGCACCAACAAAATTACTAGAGTGATCTTGATCAACAATTGCGGTACTTAGCATATGATATGTTAAATTTTGGTCGCTAAAATAGCTTAAACCAACGAACGTTAAGCTCGTGAAGAAGAGGATCTCTCATGTTGCAAAAAGGATCACCAAAAATGTTTGAATTTTTGGGTTTGGGAATGAATTTTTAGGTTTGTGAATGAATTTCGCATTTCTACTTGAAGTTCGGGTTTTGTTCTTGAATTTCTAGGTTTGGAGATGAGCGAGTTGGATTTCAAAACCTAAAAATTCATCCCCAAACCCAAAAATTTATCCCTAAACCTAGAAATTCAAGTTTCAATTAAAAAAATAAGTTGATCGTTAAAAATAATAGAGATTGGGTAATTTGGATCAAATTTTTCAACCCTCAATATTTTGAGATTCAAATTACATAATTTGATACTTTGAGCCTAAAATTGTCAAATTGCAATACTTTGAAGGCAAAAAATGTCATAATAGCAAAAAGAAGTGTCCCCATTTTAATTCTTTTTTTATTTTCACATAATGATAATAGAAGCCAATGTTTTAAACCCGACCTAGACAATCACTCACTTTATTAACCTACCAAGTCCTTAGTTAAACTAGGTGAGTTCTTGCCATTTATATTATAATATATGTATATTTTGTGAAATATTAAGCATGATTTAAAAATGGTGAAGTAGGAAAAGCATAATTTAAATAGATAGAGATATTAAGTTTGAGTTATAACTTATTTATTTATTTATTTATTTTTACCTTGTTAATACTAGACTCGTGTAGTTTAATTAGTTGGGCTTGGATAGATTTGATTAATTCGGACTAGATTCCTTACTATATGATCTTTGCCATAATTTGAATTGAACTTTTTATAGTAGACTAAGATGGAATGGAATTAATATAAATAAGTTTAGTAATCAAACCTTTTGGTTTGGACATTGAAGGTGTAGTACTTTTAATAGCGGTAACGATAATAATAGAAGTAGTAAGTAAAATGTAAATTAAACTAATAAGTGAATGTATTGTTAATATTTCTTGTACAAATAGCATGATAAAAAAAATATGCATGCATATAACTCGTTGATGTTCTTAAAATTTAGAATTATATAGTTTTAAATATATAAAAAGAAGTTTTGAGAGATTGCATATATATAACAATTATAAAAACACAAGAAATGCATAAAAATCATTTATAATAAAGAAATGATAAATTAGAATAAAAGAAAGAGAGATTTTTGGTATGAGAAAACTAAAATAAATTTCTTGAAAAAACAACATTCTAGGTGCCCAACCATTGATTTTTTTTTTTTTCTGTTTCAATGTCTAAGTTTTGATTTTATTTATTTATTTAAGTACCCACGATTATCTCGGAGTATGAATTACTAATGTGTTTGAAGTTGACTAGCACATGGCGGTTAAAAATACTATACGAGTAGCTCTCGTCGGATACTTCAAGAAAATTGAATCTCATATCACTTTAGGCTAAAAAAAAAAAAAAAAACAAAAATTGGATAGGAAATCATTAGAAATTGAAGGTTAGGTACCAAAACGAAGGGAAAAAAAATTGAGCGACAAAAAAGCCTTCTCTCTTATGGCAAAAATAGTCTAGAATTGAGGTCCGTGACCTAACAATCCCCTCAAAAGCGAGCCTTTTCTCCATCACCAAGCATCCAAGAGATGTCTTCTAACGACCTTGGACAAAGTTTATGCAAAGCCCTCTATAAAGGAGATGAATCCGATCTAGCTAACCAATACGAGGAGTTTGTAGTACTATTCATATACTTAGTGCTTGAAAGGATGGGTAGTTTAGTGAACCCTCCGGGTATATATAATTTTGAGTTTTTTTATTTTAGTGACTAAAATTGTGCAATTTTTTACTCAAAAATATTTGTTCTACTAATACTATCTTATTCCTAGCATAGCAATCAATTTAGATATATTTTAAAGGGTGCTTGTGAAAAAATATTTGATCAATTAAAGTTTATTAAACAAACAATAGTTAGTAAAATAAAATTACGTTGAAAGTTTTAATTAAAGAATTAGATGAAAGTTAAAGGTCTAAAATGTAATTATCCTAGTTCTTTTAGGATAAGACTAGATAATAATCCATATTACATTAAGGATCCGGCACAATAGGTGAAATTATTTGAAAAAAAATCATTATGATTCGATGGTTTTCATCATGCTATAAACATGCTAAAATACATTGAAATCAAAGGCAAAAAAAAACAAAATCACCTAACTTTATATTTTTTAATTAAAATTTTTTATATAATTAATTCTTGCTTATGGTTTTTAAAAAATTTCCTTCTCGAAAAAAAAAAAATCAATTTGTCTTCTTTTCATACATGGATTCTTAAATAAAAATTTATAATAATCTAAAACACAAGTTTAAATTTATCAAAAATCATTAAAAAAATGTATAAATTTAATTATTTATTTTATAATATTGTATCAAGAAAATAAAAGAACAATTAATTTTAAAATATTGCATAAAAATTTTAATATTTAAAATAATTTTTTATAATATTCATGTAATACCCAGTACTCGTTAAAACTAATATTTAATAAATTTAAGAATATTAAAAGCATATGAAAAATGTTTTGTCAGCATGGAATAATCTTTAATGGATAACTACAATATTCAAAGCAATCAAGATAGTTTTTCTATGCTTAGTGAATATTTTGTGAATTGTTGAGTGCTTAAATAGTATCTTTTGTGTAAAATAATTATTTCCAGCATGATGAATGTGCAAAAAAATATTTTGTTTGCATAGGATATTTGCTAGAGTGGTGTTCGATTATTCGATACCAATGGATGAATTTTCCGAAGCCTTGTGGATATTTTATTTGAATTTTATTATGCATAAATAATGTTTTTAAGGTAAAATAATCAAGTACTTCAAATTGTATAAGAAAATTGTCCAATGGGCATAGAAAAATTATTTAGGGTGTGTAGGAATATTTTATAAACTTAGATGAATTTTTCTTTGTGTAAGGAATATTTTCTATAGGAAATAGTGTATTTTTACGCAAAATAATTAATTTAGAGGCCTAAGTAAGTGTATAAAAATTATGTGAATGATGATTAAATTCTCCTAGGAAATTTTTGAATTTATTATAAAAATAAATTGCATTTTGGAAAGGTATGGAGTAAAATTTTAGAATTAGGGACCTAATTGCATAGAAATTAAGGACCTAATTGCATAAAAGTAAAAGTTTGAACTTTCAAATTAAATTAGATATGAACTTTAGGAGTTAAAAAGCTGTTAGAAAACCTTTAAAGGAAGGGCTTAAAGTAATCAATTGAATAATTGAAGGACTTATTGAGGAGTAATTAGAGAAAAGATTAGCAACTTTAAGGACCAAATTAAGCAAATTTTGAGAGAAAATTTTCCACCTTTTTGCTGCCCATTTCAGTTCAATGATTATGGTGTAATTAATGCATGCACAAATGGAAGAATTAGATTGAAAGAGAGTGGTTAGTTGGAGGGGCAAAATTTAAAGATTAAATGGATGGTTAGGATGAAACCAATTTAAAGGTTAGGATTAAAAAAAACAATTCGGGGCCAAGATTAAACCAAATGAAAGCTTGTGATGGAGTCAATAAAAAGAAAAAGTCC